AGCTCGGGCAAGAAGGTTTTGGCAAGCGACACGTGCAGCTTGAGGGTTCGTGTGGCAAATTTTGTGCCGCGATACTGTTTGGCAGGCAAGGCAATGTGTGCAGTTCTTAAGGTTCTCTATATCTAGCGGGTGTTCTTGCCATGTGGCAGGTGTGTGCGGGCTTGCGCGCTAGCGCAACAGCACAAGTGAATTTGACCCCCCACAAGCCAATTTGACCCCTCCCACAAGCCAATCTGATCCTTCACAAGTCGCTTTGCCAAGTGAACAAGCCAATCTGATTGATCCCCAGCCCGTTTGCTTGGGCTCCCGCTTTTGTGGTTCTTCGGCAACCTTGCTTTGCCGCCGCTGGTGCAGTGGTGCAACTACGCGGTTGAATCCTTGGGTGGAATGGGGCCAACCAAAACCCTTGCGTGCAACGCGGTGCTTAGCACGCGGCGGAAATGCGCTAGACCAGGTTCTTCGCAGCACAGCAGTGAACAAAAACATTGCGGCATGTTTTTTCTTTACCGAGCAGCCTTTGTCGATATTGACGGTCCGCTTTGTGCAAATCACGCCAAAAACAACAACAAAAACACAAAAAGTACAAAAACAAAACAAACACAACAAACGCGCACGCTGCACGCCCTGAAATTTGCAAAGTTCTCGGCCCTTTTTCCATGGTGGACGTAAACGGGTTTTGGGCGCCTCACGTACACCTGCAAGCGGGTTATAAGCAATATGTACTGCTCCAACACTGAGGCAACATGATGAACGCGTTTTTTTGGTTTTTTTTTTCCAGCGGTGCACCGCGGCGCAGGGCGCCAGCTCCGGACAACCTTGGGACCTTCCTTCCAACTTAGAAAAGGGATGGCGAGACAAATTTCTTGGGGTTGCGGGTGGATTTTGGTTCTGATTAACAACCTTTGTATTTGAGGGGTCTCAGCTTGAGGTTTATATACCATTCATCCAATATTCAATGGGATATCACCCAACGTCTCTTTGGCTTGCTGGTTCCTGACGTGAATTTGTTCGACACGTCAGGCATATTGCGCGCGCCATCCCACCTCATTTTTCCGTTTGGAGCGGGCTGATTGGCCCTATTTTGGGGTGGCTCTTTGGACAGTTTTTTTGAAACATCCTTCACCTGCGCTGAAACGGACAACTGCGGCAACCATGCCAAGCTGACAGACATTGACGACAAATATGCAATTCATGGCGACGTAAAGTGAGAAAAAACCAAAATGGCATGACTGAAAGTGCTTTCCCTGCAATGCAATGTCACATAAGTAATGTAGCATGGCAGAGGCAGTACACTCCGTGATATCACTACCATGTCTTCCAATTCTTCTCCGTCATTCAACCGCGCAAT